ATTCATTGCGATTCATTAATTTGACATTCACGTACCACAGAGACCACACACTCACTCATCCACCCACACTCGCACTCGCACTCACACACATGCATAAACAAGCTGTGTGGTAGGCCCCAGAAAATTTGTTTACAATTTTAACAGCTTTTGTTGCCAATCGAATTATTTGCTAAGCATTTGCCAAAGAACACGCTGAAAGAAGAGATTTAAATTCGAATTTCCCTCTGCTCATTGTGTGCCGGAAATTTTGGCAAAGCACACACACACACACCCACACAATAAGCTATGTATGTGTGTGCCACTCTGTGTGTCTGTTTTCATATTTGTAATACTTTGACGCCTCACGTGCCAAATGAATTGGCTGCTTGTCAAGTTATTTTGCTGTTTGGTTCGCTTGGCCTGGTTCTTGGCGTCCTTCGTGCCATCGAAATTGCTCTCACGTCTAGACATAATTTCTTCAATCATTTATTACCTAATTAAGTGGAAGTATAAATGCTAAGCTCAGCCACCCAGCCAGAGCTGGCAAAGTGGGCGTGTCCGAGCATTCAGGGTCGAATTGGCAACTGTTTGTGTGGGCCTCCGCCATGTCCCGTAGCCAGTTCCAATCTCTGTTGGCTTTGCGCCCCTTTTGTGTATGTGAATTAACTGGCAGCATTCCAATGATTGACCTTTCCATGTCACGAGTGTGTGTAGTTTAATGTGTGTGTGTGTTTGTGTGTGACTATCTGTGTGCGTGTGTTTATGTGTCTGTGCTGGTTGAGTGTGAGCACTTGAGCTTAAGACTCGCCTTGAGCATCGCAGCAGCCATTGTCTTCGGCTCATCTTTTGTTCCATCTTGGCCAAGTCGGCGCCCAGGCAGCTAGGCAGGCTTTGTGTGCATTTTGTGTTTTCTGCTGCCGTTGTTTGTGGGCATTGTTGTTGCTGTTGTATCTTTTCTTGTGGTTATTCTCAACAAACTGCCGCTTCAATTGTTTTCTTGCTACTCTCCTCTATTCTTTGCTGTTCTGCCCTGTTCTTTTCTTTTCTTTTCTTTTCTTTTTGATTTTGTTGTATTTTGGTGCCTTTCAACATTTGGCCATTGTTCGCCTTTGGCTTGGCTCAATTGTGTCACAGTTTTGATCGCTGTATGGCTTTTTGGAGGTCAATAATGAAGTGCACGGCAAAAGAAGCTGACAGCTTAATAAAAAAAATAACTGGAAATATCACTCAACTCAAGATATAGAAAATTTGCATAAAATATAATAACTTTGATGACAAACGAAAAGTTAAAGACGTGATTCCATGCTTATTCATTTCAAGCCCAAGGCTGAACAATAATAATAATAATAACTTTTTTGCTTTGTGAAGGGTATTCATAACTGTATTTCCATTTCGATTGATACTTACTCTTTCACAACTTACCTCAGCTTCATCCAAATCATTTACGCATTTTTTTTTTTTATTATTTTCCATACTTTTTTTTATTATTATTAATTTGTTTTTTTTTTTTTTCAGCATTCCAGTCGGCTTCGATCTTTACCGTGAATTATAATTTTTTGTTTTTGGTTTTTGTGTTTTTCTTTTACAATGCTTTTTCATTATTCATTATAAACATGCCACGACCACCAACTGGTTGCCTCTCGGACTGCCGCTCACATAGTCCTGTGTGAAGCCCTTGGCATAGTAATACATCCTATCTTTTACTTAAGTACTACATACCATAGCATATTTATCTATATTCTATATTGTGTTCCGTTTAGTTTGCTGTCGCTAGGCTTAACTTGAATTCCTCAACTTATTTGATATTCCTCATGCATATTTGATGTACTTTTTCCATTTATTTTATTTTCTATTTCCATTTCCATTTTTTGTTTTTTATTGTTTTTCTCTTTTCCATTATTTAACATAGGTTTCGACTAGGTAGCTTCCTCCTTAACAGTAATGATCTAGCTGCGGTTTCTAGACTTCTTTTCTTTTTTATTCATTTTCGTTTAACGGTACTTTACATTGTAGCTGCGCCTCGTGCTGTGCTGCCCCGAGAGCACAATGACAAAGTAAAAGGGACATAAACAATAATCGAATCATTAAAGCAGATAGATTTACATATATGCAGATATCGGAGGCTGCAATGCAGTTTGGTTGTCTAACTGGGAATGCTGAATGCAATGCTCGCAGTGGGCAGCGACTGCCATAGAGATTGCCGATAGGTACTTACGATACTTATGCGAAAACTGTCTGACAACGGCTTTGCGTCACGGGATTGATAATTATCATTAAATTCGTCTAATATTAATTAGCTACAAGCTGTTCTATAAGCAGGTCCTCTTCATTAAAGGTCGCTTGCAATTGGGTGGCCTAGGGAACTATTCAAGTGCATTGCAATTTTCCGATAAATATATATATTTGTTTAATTATATATGTATATTTATTTAGGATATATTTTATGTATAAGTCTCTCATATGTATTGTAATGTACTATGCATTTAATTGCAGCTTTTTGGTATTTTTAATTTGTTCTATAATAGTGTCAACAGTGGTATAACTTGTAAGCTATAATCGACAATCGATAGTCGGTTATCGATATTCATATGAATTATCCATGTTTGGTTTACATTATTCTCTCTTATTTTTCCTTCTTTTTGACTAATATTCACTAACTGAAGCGTAGGCTAGGGTGCACCAATAGCGTTATAACATATATATAGTATAGTATAGGTATACGAGTATATTTAGGTATATCATGTTAGCATGTACTATATATATATGTAATATGTATATATTTATTTATATATGTATATATAAATATGAATATGTAACACATATCGTTATCTATATGCATTAAGGAAGACATTTTTTCATGATTGTGACCATTTCTTCAGCGCACTTTACACTCTACACTTGACACGTTCATACTCATCAGATGCATATGTGTTTGTGTGTGCGTGTGTCTGTGTGAGCACGAGTGTAGGTATGTGTGTGTGCGCTAGCTTAACGCTCTGCTCAAATGGTCAAGCTTAAACTTTAAGTGTGTATGTTTGTCTGTCTGTGTGTGAGAATGTGTGCGAGTGTGTGTTTGTTTGTCTGTTTGTGTTTATTACTGAGTGTCTCAGAAACACTCACTTAATATTTATAGAATTTACGCATTTATAATTTTCAATACGTACATATTCACAAAATTGAATAGTTTTTACATAGTTTATTAAGGCGCAACTGAAGTTCGGTTCAATGTACAATTATTTCTCGATTTACTGTTGCTGCTGCTAGGGTAGATCATAATAGTTATTGTTTATATATTTTATCCTTTGTTTAGTTTCATTTGCATACTTAGACGTATCGTTGTGTATATTAGCATGTACATATGTATATAGAGGTATGTACAAAGGGTTCGTTTATACGACATTCCGTGTATATTTAGGTGTTCACATTGATATGTACTGTTAGTATTTGATAGAACGTAATAGATTCCCGACTTATTTACAGCATTTGGGGAAGGGCCAAATAAAACGATTGCATGATATGAAACCTCTTCAAATGAAGACACTCAACAGAATCGCAGAGCAAATACATTAAATGCGCTGTAAGAAAAGCATAATTACTTAAATACTCAGCCATGCAAAGTATAATTGGTAATGAAACCGTAATTCTCTTCGCGCCACGAGGGCCTGCATATTGTGTGGAAAACTTTGAAATGAATGAGCAATTTTATTTCACATGTCCAAATTTAATTATCAGCAGTGGAAACGTATGGGCGCAAAAGATGTTCGCACCTCAAAACAAAAAATAAATGAATAAAATATTTAACTACAGTTTAAGCCATTCATTGTGTATACCCTCGCAAAAGGAGCTGGGAGTCTCCATGATTTTCAATTGAAATATCGGAACTTTGAAAATTATGTAGATGATGGAATTGTAATAAAGATGAAGATGAGGAATAGTAAAGAAATATTGTAAAATATAATAAAATATGAAAAATGAAGCAGCGGGTTGTATTAGAGTATTCGAGCTGCGGCTTGCCCATGTTCATATTTTCTTCCTGCTTTTAATTGTGTCAACAATAAAACAATAATGGGGCATAATGTGTAAAAACTGCAATTAAGTCTGGCCTGTGTGCTGTAGGGATGATAATGAATGTTGAATGTAAGTAAATAATTTGTACACAAATATACATATATATAGCTTATATCGTATAAAACACTAGCTACGTCGCACAGTGGGGCCTCTGCCGGCAGAGCGTGGCAAAAATCAAAAAAGKKACTTYAAGCGATTTTTAAAAAGTTGATGTCATATGAAAATAAATCGATCTACTGGTTTGTAGCCGAAAGATTTTTGAAAATCGGTCAATTTTAAGGGTAGTTATAGCCCTTCAAAATTTGGGAAAGTGGCAAAGTTGTGAAGAGCAGCGTATTTTTGTGAAAAATATGCCACTTGTCAATTGAATTGTAGGAAAAATCTTGCACCAATTTTGGCAGTGTTGGTTGCGATTTAANCATAAAAACGCACAAAATGTACTAAAAAAGGTCAAATTTGCATGCAGATGACTACTTTACAGAAAATGAAAAAAAAAAAATAAAATTTTTTTAATTTATTTTTTAATATTTTTTTATTTGTTTTGTTATATTTATTGCATATAATTTAATTAAAATCAATTTCAACAAAAAAAAAATGCTAGTTTTTCATAGAAAAACATACATTTTAGGACAAAAATCACATTTTTCAGGTTTGAGGTAAAACTGTGAAGCACCCTGTTAACGCATCACCCTGTATTTTGGCCTATTTATAGCTTGAAGAATTCTCGGTCGAATGCTTTTTAAATTTTTGAAATATCTTGCTTGATTCAAAAGTTATGATTTTTGCAACGCAAAATGAGCAAAGGCCCCACTGTGCGTCGTTTGTGTGCTCTCCATATACATATGTAAGAATATATGTGTATATGTGTATGTATGTAAGTGTATACCTTAAACAAATATCAAGTCTATTTACAGTTTTCTGTCAGATGCCTTTCATTATCATTGTGTATATAGTTAAACGCTAGCATTAGTAATTGTAGATAATTTCCATTAATTTTAAGATAATTATTATATAGACAGCAGTTTCATTTCCTCACTTGTTTGAGTATATAAAGTTAATCGTTATCGTTATCGTTATCGTTATCGCTATCATTATCGCTATCGTTAGTCGAATGGTGTATCAAGTACTTAATGCCTCACAGATGTAAGTACGTATCAAAAAGTAAGATCGCATCTTCAGTTAACAACAAAGCGCACAAAATATCTGCTAGCCCCTAAAAGTATACAACACATTTCGCTAATTCATTATATCATATGCATAGGTATAGGTATATGTATATGTATCTGTATATGATCATATGTTCATATGTTTAGATGCCTAATACTAAACTAACTCACATTTAATGCTGCTGAATATTTAAGTATTATGCTCATATAGGTTTCACATTCCCCTTCCTTTAGCTACACACACATTTAGACATCGCACAGACACATACACTCTAAATGTACTCTAAACATATATATAGATATTATATATGTATTTATGTTAGTTTAGTATCGTATTTGGTGAGCACTGCTTAAAGCGCCCGTATGCCACACGTTTGACCCCGTTCCCTCGCCCCTTACACCAGCTTACAAATAAACTACATACAGTTAGTGAGCGCTGCAGCTGCTGCTTTAACTGCCGTGTCATGTTGAGGCAGTGCGCCAGCTGCTCGCTGGCTGCTCGGCCAGACGCAGCGTGCCACGGACGGTTAGGGCCAGCGAGAGCAGCAACAGGGAGACCAGGCGGCTGGCCGCTGTCTGGCCACTGCGAGCGGCGCTCGTGCTTTCCGGCCAGACGACATCGACTTCGGACATTTTGAAAATGCTCAACAGTCGGTGGGATTGTAGCTCATTGTGCTCGGTGTTGATATGATGACTGATGGTCTTCAGTATCGAGGTGCACTCGTCCTGCAAGTGGCCAGATAAGCGAGAGAATATATTCGAGTACAATTCGCACTCGTTCACACTGGCAAGCTTAATAGAATTAATAAATGAGTTCACAAACCTTCTCACGTCGCAGCAGATCGATGTCCTTCAGCTTGCCGTCGTGCGGCAGCCGCGCTGCAATGATGATGTTCTCCTCAGTCATATTGAACAGCGTCAGAGTGCACTGTGTCTGCGGGTCGACAGCAACAACAGAATCCAATTAGCATTCATGGAACTTGAGGAATTTGACAGGTGCGCTGTCTTACCTGATTGTTAATGTAGGTTGTCACGTATTGTTGCAGAGCGCGCACAGCATCCTGCACGCCCAGATTGGTGTGGGGTCGCAGCAGTGCCTCATCGGCGGCGCTGTAGCCCAGCAGCAAGAAGACGCCTCCTGCAAGAAGCAGCATGCCATAAATCTCAAAAATATTATACAAAACTATTGATTTACACCACTAGCTGGTGCATGCAAAATGCACATAAGTGGAGAGAGAGAGATAGTGGGAGAGAGAGAGCGGGGGAGGGATAACCTTTTATGTATCTGTCGACTCGAAGAGGAAACAAAGTGCAGCTGTATGTGCATGAGAATAATGTCTTACATTCTCGGTGCTGTTTTAAAAAGTATTGCTGGCCTGATGCACGCCCTGAGGGCAGCTGCCTGCAGCACTGGCTGCCAAATGAAACACACTTGTCAGCCACGCAACGTCATTGCCTGTCGCGAGCGATAATCGTAAAGTGCTCAACGGGAAACAGAGACGATGCTGGCAGCAGCAGTGGAGTTTTGTGCAGGAGTCAAAGGGAAATGACGACGGATCAAGTGAGGTGGGCGGACACTACTAACCTGGCAGAATGTATTCCCCGAGCGGTGGCTTCATGCAGATAAAACGTCCCGAGTAGCAGAGGCAACGGCCGCGGAACGCCTGATAAGCCGGCGAGGCGTGACTGTAGAACGCCAGGGCGGTGCGACAGGGCGCAAAGGGCACGCAGAGGGCGTGACAGGTGAGTGTAAGCGAGTCGCCGCAGCTGCACAGCTCGCTGCACTCGGCGTCGTCCAACGAGTAGATCTGCAAGTAGAGCCGACATCTTATGAAATCCGAGAAACATCCTGGCGCCGACCTGCACCTAATTAGGCAGCAGGCATTACATTAAGCATACGCCCCGTGCATACATGCAGCAGCGAGCTGAAACAATGCGAGCACTAATTGCATTGCCGCTTGCCATGGAACTGTTGTTGCCCCAGCAGCACGTCGAGGCCAAGTGAAAAGAAAAGTGGCCAAAGTGCATTCGCGTCGCATTGTTGCTGCTGCTGCTGCTGGTATTGTTGTTGTTGTTGTTGTTTTGTAAATTGTTTTCCTTATTTTTTCGATGTCGTACATGTTGTTGTTCTGTATGCGCTTCCATTTTCATGGCGTTGTTAAATGTGGTAATATCTTTTCGTTGGGCACGTGCCGGCACGTAAGCCATCCACACACACACAGACACAGACGCACACATACAGCTTCAACTTGTTGTGTGCTGGCAACAAAAAGTTGCTTCGTTTGTTTTGTTGTGTTGGCTGCCGCTTGCAAACTTTTAGTTATGCAAATGCATTTTAATAACACTTTCTGAACTTCCGTTGTGTGTTAAAAAAAAAAAAAAAATAAAATAAAATAAAATAAAATACAAAAAAAAAAAAAAAAATAAATAAAACGAAATGAAATAAAATAAAGAGAAATGGAAGGTTACATAAATCTCGCGGCCGTGCTAGAAAAACCCTTGCAACATTTTTTATTCAAATGAAAAAATGTTAATTGCTGCAAATTGTTGACGATTTGGGACAGTTACATGAACGTGCTGCCATTTGCATAAAATATTGATTTCAAACAATTCAATTGGAGCTCTGCATGCCACTTACCCGCTTGCTGCTGCCCTCGCGGATGTGTTGATCGCTTTGATGGGGTCGCTGCACCACACAGTTTCCTGCGAAAGAGAAAGAATTCGTAGTAGAAATAGAATAAACACAATATCTTTTAATGGCACAGCCCGGGCTAAGCGTCTGGGCTGAGGCACCACAATGTGGTGCGATGACTGTCGTTCGACATATCCATTCATTCATCATGCACTTCATTCATTAAAGAGCGTTTGCTGTGAAACGTGCCAGAAAGTTGGGCAATCCCCTGACTCTTGCCGACTGAGTGTTATCTGTTTTTGGAGAGTGTGCTAATTGCTGTCCGTTAGGCATGTGTGAAATGTTGGCCAACAATAAAAACTAACGAGCCGGAGCCAGAGCCCGAGCTATGGGCTTAGCACATTTAGTAGCACCCAGGGCATTGCTCACTTGGTCCGAAAATCATTTAGGAAACTTTCTTAATAAATCAAGTGGAAAATCTTATTTACATTTTTAATTTTTAATAAACGTGCGGCTCAAGTGGCGCACTTGATGGCATTGAATAAATATTTGAGCAGTGTTAACAAAACAATTTATTTCACTGAATACTTTAATGCGGAAGCTTCAAATTGTTAAATGCTGATGTCAAATGACACGCTCGGCCGGCTGCTCGCCCGCTCCCCCGCGATTTAAATCAATTATGAATGAGACATGCACGCTGCAGAGCTCGACGCTGTCCGGTGACTAAACAACAACAATTCATACAAAATGCACACGCAAATGTCCCAACGGCCTGAATAATTACAGCTTATACACATGGCTTCTATCTGTCTATCTGTGCTCGTGCATGTGTGTGTGTGTGTGTGTGTGTGTGTGAATTATTTCGGCTGTGTGTGTGTGTGTGTGTAACAAACTCATTTACATATTTAATGCAATTTGCAGACAGGTTTGCTGCCCAGCTGCACAATATAACGGAAGTATTTCATAAATGCGTAGAAAACACTAAAAAAAAAATACTTAGTTGAGACAAACATTTTAAAGGAGTTCACAAATAAAGTTCTATTAGTGTTTTGGAAACCATTGAGAATAGTTAATGTATATGAAATGCTATGTATATCGAGCTCTTAATCGGATTTAATATATACGCCTTATAAGTATAGCAAATATTGTCAGATTTACAAATCACTGTCACGTGAGCAAACTCATTTCCGGCAACACACACTCGCGCACACTCACACACTGGTGTGCATTATAGCCGTTTTACATTTCAAATGAAACAGTACATCGAAATTCACAGATATATGTAATTCGTGCAGCAAACAGCTTCCGTTTCCATACGCCGCAGAGCCCATTAACCACATCAATTAAATTGCAAATTTAAACCGAGAAAATAATGAAAGAGCTAAAAATTAGGGCCAACATTTATAAGGATTGGTCTGCCCCCTTGACACTCGAGCTAATTGTGACAAAGCTGGCAAAACTTGTAATGAGAATGCATTAACCAAATTTGAAAAAATGAATAATTGTATGCGGAAAAAAGTTTTGGCAGAGCTCTGCTCATAAGTGTAACCGGAAGCCTGCCTGCCCATATGGCCAATAATATCATCCCTGTTGCTGTGGCCAGTCAGTTATCAGCACTCAACAGTCTGCGGTAATACGCATAATAGGGGGACTCGCCCACACTTTCGTGCAAACTCACACACACAGACGCACACACGCACACAAAGGGATCGCCCACATGCATTTACTTACTTGGTGGCTGGGTTGTTGTTGTGGTCTCCATTGTTGTGGTCGCTGTGGTTGCCGGCTCTGTGTGGCTGATGCTGTGCACCAGCTCTGTTGTTTCCATTTGGTCAACAAAAATTACCGGATCATCGAAATCTACGCCCTGTCTGCCAAGGCCAGCGTTTTGGCCATTGCCATTCTTCTTGCCCTGTCGCCGATGGTCGCCCTTGCCATTTCCGTTACCATTCCCATTCCCGTTGCCATTGCCATTGCCGTTGGCATTGCCGTTGCCATTACCGTTGCCATGCCCGTGTCCGTGTGCATGCCCCTTGCCGTGATTGTTGTCGTGTTCATTGCCGCCATGATAATCGTTATTTCCGCCATTTCCGCTGGCATCGTTTCCGCTGTGCAGCGGCACTGAGTCGGGCGGATCGAGATAATTGTGTTCCACCGATGCCGGCTCTGATTTCTCCTTTGCCTGTTCGAGTTGTCAAGCGATTGGGTTGTTATTTTATTTATATTTTTGCGTGCGATTTATTATTTATTTTGGATTTTTAAATTTTGTTGCACAGTTATACAGTATGTTTTTTTTTTGTAGTTATTATTATTATTTTATTTTATTTTATTTTATTTTTTTTATTATTGTGGTTTTGCGATTGTTGTTCGTATGGTTGGGAACATGAAAAGAAGACGTTTCAAAGGTTTTCAATGTAAACTCGACTATTTTTGTGCACTGCATTTAATCTGTGAGCTGCAGCTGCAGTAGCAGCAGCAGCAGCAGCAGCATCAGCAGAAGGGCAGAAATTGATTGCTTTGTCGGTTTGAATTCATAGTCGATACTCCGATACTCGAGCGCTGGGTTTATATTGTGCGCTTGGCTTTTCAACTCTGTGCAGCCACTGATTGAGTGCTGATTGGAAAACAGACGGATTGAAGGATAACTGAGTGATGGGACGGTGGCCGGGCGACTGATGTTGAAGCTTGTTAATCGGATTGGCTATCAGATTGGCCCAGTGCGCCCGACCACAGCACAGTTGTTGTCCCACAATTAGTCCCGTTAATGCTCCGACCGACTAACGGAACGCAAGGTTCCGGTGCCGCTGCCGGTGCCGGTGGCGGTGTCGATGCCGGTGCACTCATAGGCACAGGCTACTTACCTTGAAGATATGCGTGGCGGGCTTCCTTGGGGTTTGCTTCGGCTGCAAGCTGGTTGTGGTCGTTGTCGTGGTTGGCGGCGGCGGCGGTGGGGGTGGCGGTGCACGAGTCGTAGTGGTCGTGGTCGTCGTAGTTGTTGTCGTCGTTGTGGTCGTCGTCAGAAAGCCCAATTCAGCCAGACGCTTCATATGAAAGTCCTTTTGTGCCTCGACTGCAAAGTGCATAAGATTTTTGCTGCATCCTGCCATGCAATTATCCAGCCGTTGCAGTCTACTCACCCACACACGGATTCATCCAGAGCAGGCGCCGCCAGCCTACGCACTGGTAGAGATGCTGTGGATCGGTGCCCTGACAGGCGCATGTGGTGCGCAGCATGGTCCCAAGGATGCCAATCATTGCGGTGCGACAGCCACTGGGCCGGCCGGCGCACTTCTTGGTCACACTGTCCACGGCACAGGCCTGCTCATAATACTCCAGCTTGAGCCTGTCAAGGTTGGGGTTTGCGAATAAAACAAAAATGGAAATCGGAGTATTAACATGTGTGAGCCAGCAGCAAACTCTCGGATCGGAGCTGCTCATCAGATAGCCAGCTCGTCAGCTCGTCAGTTTGTAGCTGCAGCTAACGTCTGTCTAGTTGTCTGAATACCTGTCTGTCTGTTGCTAAGTGTCCCGTTACCCGTTACCCATTGCCTGCAAGCACAGTAGCTAGCTTGAGTCTGAGATTGATGTCCAGCCATTTATGTGGGAATTACACTTGGTATCCTCGTGCATTTGATGGTTCTGCAGTTGTTTCTACCACCGCAAGTTGCAACACAATTTATTGCATCGGGTTTACGACACTGCCGTAAAATGCGAGCTCACTTCACCTGCAGCTCTATCTGCCACGTGGCGTATGCGTAATATGGCTAACAGAGCAGACAAGTGTGGAGCGCTCTCTAGCCGTTGGCATTTCAGTCATTTCAATCAGCTGCAGCTTTTCCGCCAAATAACATACAGATGAGCCCTATTAGACACGCATTCAACTCCGACATCTCCTTAGCATTTATGGTGTCTTCAGGCAACGAGATGCACATGATTGCTAACAGATGGCCAGATGGCATAATTTCGCAGCATTTATAGTTCACTCAATTGATAATTGACAATCAGCCAGATTATATAAATTTTAATGCTTGGCATTGTTTGTGCCCTTTGGCCGGCCGGCTGCTGTTATATAAAGGCATGCATTGCCGCCAGAGAGGCTGTGGCACGTGGCACATTGAGGCAGCCATCTAAGAGTTAGTAAAACAATCTGCCACCCTTGGAACCAGGCAGCCGAACAAGTGCGTGACGCCCAGCGTCTAACAATCTACAATGCACGTGCTTGAATGCAACGCGTCGTATACGTAATAAGTCAACATAAGCACTCGAATAGCAAGACGAAAGCAAACTGCAAACACACATGCACACACACACACACACACACAGCACACACAGACACCCACTTGGAGAGTTGTTGTGTGTAGGCAGCGCAGCATAGAAAATGAGCGTCATTAGTCCAATTTAGTTGTTTACTAAAGCAAGTGAGATTCACTTAAAAGGCAATTAATTTTCACAGCACCACCAGAGCCACGTTCGCTGCGGTTGTTCAGCTGTAACATGACAACAAACACACCGATACCCCCCAGCCCACACACACACACACACACACACACACACACACACACATATATGGCGACACACACACACACACACACACACACATTTATCACTTAACTTTGTGTTTGACACATTCGCGGCCTGGCTTGAAGTTCGCCGAGTGCAGCCTGATTCTGCCTCGCTCCATGCTCTGTGGCACCCTTGCCAAGCTGCCGTGTTTAATGAAGAGCAGCGCACAAAGTGGCAATTTAACGCCCGGTTTGACAGTGACGCGGATTTTTGGCATCAAAGCCGAACAACTTGAGCTGCTGCTTGCTGGCTATGAGTTTGGCTTGTTGTCAGCTTAATGACTTTCGCAAAAGCGCCATCAAAATTGCGGCCGTCTTAGCGAGCGAGCTAAATATGTGTAATTCTATAAGCACACGAAATTCAATTTGCTTTAATTGAATAACAGTTCAAAAACACGCGCTCCACATACACAGAGAGAGAGAGTGAGATGGAGTGGCGAGAGGCGGAGAGAGAGAGAGAGAGAGAGAGTTTAAAACGAGCTGCGGATTTACATGCGATGCGCATATTTCCGCTTCCGCTTAGCAAGCATTTGAATTATGGACACAGCGCGTCGCCCTGGGGTCCTGGGGATATAGCTGGCATGACTACATATGTATTTAACCCACCTGCACTCGCGAAACTCTTTGCAGCTGTCGGCTACAACGTGGCAAGCGGGCGGCGGATGGTAGTAAATGCCATTGGAGCTGGCTGGATTATTGTTATCGGGCGGCCTCTGAGCGCAGACGGGATGCAGTTTTTCCTGTGCAATCATGCACATGTCGGGCCGATTGCCGCTCTGCAGGCTGGGGCTGTTGTTGCTGTTGCCGGATTTTCTGTTGGAGCAGGAAAGAAGGCGCCGTTGGAGTAGTATTTGCATTGTTGATTGTTGTTGTTGCTGTTGTTGTAATTGCTGTTGCAGTGGTTGACCAACAACGGCTGCCACTTACTTGCATAGACAAAAGGCAATGTCCAGATTCAAGTCCTCGTGCGGTCCTTTGTAGAAGGACTGCAATGCTGTCATGCACGCATTGCGATTGCAGCGATGCAGCTCGCAATGCGTCAGCATCGGCTGCAGCGATGATGAGCAGGCTGGATCCTCCCGGCAGCTGTCCAGTGCTGTGTGGCAGGTACTCTGCACAAGGTTGTGGAGAAACGGGGGAAGAAGAAGAACAAAAAACAAAAAAACAAAAAATCTGCATTGTTGTTGTGCACGCAAAATGTAAAAGGTGCTGCAACATATTCAGAATACTTTCTGCATTTGCCCTCCGGGAGGTGGGGGCAACTGCAGTGCAGCAGCCCGATGCATAGCCCTGACCACGCCCACTGCAGGTCGAACTTACCTGAAAATGTTGCTTGATTATTTCCGTTGAGAGGTCAACTTCAACGTCCTGACCACCTGCAGCAGGAGCGGCACAAGCATCAGCAGACGTGCCCAAGTGACCATCGCATTGCCGTCGAGTTACAGTTGAGTTTTGCCGAGCGAAATCACGAGAGTATTCAGAGCCAACATCGTTTGCCATAATTGTACGATGAGCGTAGCAAGTGTAGAAGAATGTTGTAAATGAGTCCATTAGTTATCGGCTTTGATAATTTGGTTTGGTAAAGCACTTGCAAATATTTCAGAGCACTCTCAAGCACCTTCGATAGCTACACAGAGTGCGTCCGCCAACATGAACGAATTGCTGCGGAGGGGGCGGGGCTCTAATGCAATGCGTGTAATTGCATGAAAATGTTCGTTCGACATTTTTAGAATATTTTCATTAATTGGATTTGTGTTGCTCACAGTTTTTTGCCAAGCGCAAAAATGTGGCATATGGGGCGCCATGTAATCAATGAATAATGTTCTTTTTTTAGCTCTGCATATTTATTCATTGCATTTATTGCTAACTAATTAACAAATGAATATGCATATTTCATATTTGTGGCTCGAGCTTATCACAAAAGCGCCCATAACTCGATTACGTCGAGGGATTGATGGCAAATAATCCTAATTAGAAATGATTATCAACGCGCGCTCCCTGCTGAGCGTACGCAGCATGAATGGAGCGGGGGCTGAGGCTGGGGGCGTCTATTTCGCATCATGTTGGGGAGCAGCAACAGCTGGTGCCTGTTATAGATTACATTTTAATTAACCAACTTGTTGTTGGCTCTCGTTTCTATCCAATGCCATGGTTAAGTCCACTGTGACCCGACACAGATCCACCCATAAATAATCCAAAATAATCGAATAATAAAAACGAAAGGCATAAATAATGAAATTAAAAGCAAATATATTTATATATTTCTATATTATATTCCAAATTTGTTGCCTATAACTTGAAATGGAGGTTCGGGGCACGTTCAATGGGGAGTCGATTCTCAACTGCGGGAGGAGCAGGGAAGGAGCGTAGACTTGATTTGTTCATATATGTATATTTTTGTAGTGAGCAGCAGGGCTACGGGTGCAGCGGGGCTGCGGGGCTGCGGGGGGCGTATCAAACACAACTATGTATACTATGTATTGTATATAGTTTTACGCATAAAGTATAGATTAAATATTTCAATAGACTTGTCGGCCTTTTTAACTACAACCTACTCATCAAAATACTTAATTTGGGTAACGCGCCAGGAGCGACGCTTAACTAACAATGAAGATCTGTTTGAAGTGTCTGTGTTTGTGTGGCTGTGTGTGTGAGTGTGTGTGTCTTTGCTCTGATTTGGCCACACCTGTGCGCCCGAGTCAATGGGAATGTTTGAAATGAACACTGAGTGTAATTTAATCCGCCTATTCAGAATATTATGTAGATTCTGTTTGATTTGAAACAGATTGTGTTAACATCTCTGATTGCACGTAAAATAAAAAATAAAATGTAAATTATTTAAGTGTTTCCGAAGCACTGAAGACATAAAACCAATTTCAAATTCAACTCATAAGGCTGAAATCAAATGTAAGCAGCTGCAATGCAAAATGAACAGTTTCATTGGAGAATCGTTTTTCTGTTTTATTTGTAAGTATTGATTAGAGCTGAATCTTCAAAATATCAAAATGATTTTCCACTTGAGCTGAGTTTGTTGGGCTTGTATGAAATGTTGTTCGTTCTAAGACCTTGGCTCTTCATATGCTTATGGAAATTTGTATGCAATACCAATTTCGATATGGATGGCATGAGTGAATGTTTCAACTGCTTTTGAGTATTTATATATATTTGTAGTTTTCTTGTTGTTGTTATGATAGTGTTGTTGTTGTTGTTGTATTTAACTTGAACACGCAACATATGAAACATATTGGTAAAAAATTTGCATCTGAACAAAATGTTTGAGTTGAATAAGAAATGTATGTAACGCATGTTGTTTGTACTTAGTATTTGAATTATTTGTGATTGTAACTGTTTATTGTTCTTGTTTCAAAAAACGGGTGCATCGAAGAATTTTGTAAAAAAGTGTGCTTGAATTAAATGTAACAAAAATGTATTTTTAGCTTTTTTGTTTTTAATGAATTTTGTTTAAAAGTTTTATGGCAAATTGTACAGTTAGATTTGTTGTTTTTATTATTGGTATTAACAATTTGTACAGCTCTCTCATCCGTCATTATAGCTTTCGGTTTTGGTTTTAGTTTTGGTTTTGTATATATAAACAAAATGGCAAACAAAATTCATTATTCGAAATTTTCATACCGAAGTTGAAGCAATTTTTGTTTTTGTAAAAATTTGTAGAAAATTTCCAAAACATTTGAAAAACAAGTGGCAAGCTACATAAGGCAAAATAAATGTAACTAAAAACGAATAGTAAAATATTAAAGTATTCATATAATATAAGTATGTATATATATATAGAGAGAGAGATTTATATATATGTATATATATATACGAGTATGTCGGCAGTTTTTGTTGTTACTGTTTGATATTTATAAAAGTTGAGCGAATGCTAAAAATTATGCACAAAGCCATGACGAGCTCGAGGCGCGCCAGTAGTTAGTTAATTGGTTTGTTTAGTTCGTTGCTTTTCAACATTGAAATCAAAAGTTGAGCGGTAAAAGTTGATTACTTAAAAATTTACCTGCAACGGGGTGTGTTTGTTACAGGGGGACGACACAACACGCGCAAAACGTTATGAGTTTATTGAAAACGAAAATCAAGGTAAAGCATAAAGGTAAGAATAAACTCTATATAAACAATTACAGAACGAGCGCTACCTGTCACCTGTCGGGTGAGAACAAACAGAAACCGTGTGCCTAGCAGCATCTGCTCTCATCTTAGTTTTCATCTGCTGGTCATATTTATTATATTTTTTGCTATTTTGGTTAGCCTAGTTTGTGGTCTGTTTTTGTTTTTTTTTTAAATTTATTTATTGATTACGTTCATGCTAATTTTTTTACACATACTTTGATAGTAAACACCGGCATTTCCGTTTCCGTTGCCATTGCCGTTGCCATTGCCATTGCCATTGGCATTGCCGGCGTAGCCATAGCCCGTATCAACAATATCGAATGGCGATTCATTTCCGGCGCCTGTCGCCGACGCACCCGCCGCCAAGTGGCGCTGATGAAAGCCGCTTATATTGAACGGATAGCTGAGCACGCCGTGCAGCGAGTTGGACACCGAGCCCGGATAATTATAGCTGCTCGCCGAGCCGCCCGTCGCTATTAACGGCGTATCAATAACCGCCAAATTATCATCGAAGATTCTCTGATGCAATTTCTCGTCCATGCCCAATATTCTTACTGGAATTTTAAGTAGCAAGAAGAGAGAGGGTAGAATGGTTGTTGTAGTTGTACAGTGCCTGTTACGTATGTTGGTTGATGTTATTTTTGTTGTAGATACGAGTAGCTGTTGTTGTTGCTGTTGTTTTGACTATGGCTGCTGCAGTTGCTGCCAACTTGCAACACATCAACATTTTGGCCATCCAATCAATTTGCACAATTCATTTTCAGTTCGGTTTTTTTTTTTTCGTTTTTCAATCTTATCGTAAATTTGTTTATTGTATAAAAGAAAATTAGGTTTATATATGTGTGTGTGTACCCATCGAATGACATGGGCTCATACTTTTTGAAAGTACTTTCTATAAACTCAACTTAGATTAATTAAACAAAAATACAAGTGAAGAAGATCTGAGAAAATAAGAGAACTTGAAATATACATGGACAGTTTGGGTAAACGGTGCATTCTATATAGGTGCGGCTAGTACAACATAGTAGGGCGTGTGTGAGAGTGCGTTTGGTAATATATATTGCATACCATTTAGTTTATGTGCAAATAGAATAAAGCAAGTTCTGAACGGCAACAACTGCAATTGACATTAATTTTTATGACAAGCCGTAAAAGCAACAGAAAATAATAAAAAAAAATTTAAAATTAGATATGCGACCTGAGCCGTGGGCAATCGAGTGCTTGAATAAATAACTATGAACATTTATTGGGCAGCGATGAATCGCACCTTGAAGCAAGTGTCATTGGTACTACGGCGACATGGCTCTGGTTCGATTTAGCCAATTGCTTATTGTGTGGCTCGCCACGCACCAATTGCCAGTGCAGGGCTGCCGTTTCCGCTATCAATGTCAATAGCAGGGCAGAAGCACAAATACAAGCATAATGCTAACAGAGACGTGCTGTGCGTGTGCGCGTGTGTGTGTGTGTGTGTTTATGTGTTTGTGTCTAACTTTGTGTATCTTTCAAATGTCATGCGCTGCTAGAGCGAGCAAATGGTAAACGATTCAATGGAGACGCTTTGCAACCACAGCAGCATTTGCTTATCTCGCCTAGCGCACGCCAAAGTGCGCTTCATTTGAGGCGCCTGCTCAAAGGATGCGAGACCCCTCTGTGCTTAAGCTTTAGCATCAGCTTCAGCTTCAGCTCCTGCACCAGCTGCCAGCTTCCGCAGCGGCAGGCAGACGGTCAATGCGGGGCGCCAAATGGCAGGAAAATGCCATGGATTTGCCATTGCCTTTCGTCTGCCGTCTACCGTCCGTCGTCTGGTGTCCGCCTCCTGCTGGCAGCTGCCTGCCGCCTGCGAAACGTATTTATGTTTGTCGCTTATTTTGCCAAACAAATATTTGCACAACAAACTGTTGGGGAGCGACAGAATTGGCGGAACTCGAAGCTGAATCGGAATCGGAATCRGAATCCCAATCGTAATCCCAACTGTACCGCCTGTGCAGCGAGGGGCGGCAGGAGGCAGGCAGGCTGACGATGAGATTAGCGCTGTTTGCCAAGTGTTATCGCCCATGTAAACAGCTGTCGACGAGTGGATCTGTCGCCTTCAAAGTCGCGAAATTGTTGCGTATACGCAGCGTAGTCAGCATCATCTCAGAGTGGCTTTAATTATTTAAGCGAGAGTTGCATTTGGGCCAATTAATGCGAAAGCTTGGCCCAGTTCACAGAGAACTGTTATACATGCTGGAGCATGTGCTGTTATTTGGAAATTAGGCTAGCACACTGCGTACCAGCTGTATGTGCATGTGTGCAATAACAATGCCAGCAAGAGCATTGGCGGATTTCACAATACAACAAAAATATTTACTGCACGCGAAACAAACTAGCGCTAGGGCCAAACAGGTGTGCATATACTTGGTGCAGTCAGTGTTGGCGCAGTGCTGCTGAAAATCACATTAATTGTTTTACTTGTGCCTAATTAAATTTCCCCAACTGTGCTGTGCGCCTATCGCAACGAGATCAACTGCAAAGCCTTGCGATGATGATGAGGTAAGCGCTAAGCGATTGGCAAACGAATCTGATTATTATGATTCGCATTGTGGGTCATCCGGTTACCACTTTAACTGGCATTAATTATCGGTATCGGATAAATTACAAATGTTGTTATTGTTGTTGTTTGCTGTCTTGCAACGGCGTGTGATTAAAATTTGTTATTGCTGCCGTTGAATTGGCTGTGTGTGTGTGTGTGTGCGTGTGTGTGTTTGTGTGTGCGTGTGTGTGTGTGTGACATGCATAAATATCTGTCAATATTTGCGCAAATTCACAATAGCTGTATTACGTGTGTATGTGAATGGCTGACTGCGTGTGTGTGTGTGTGTCCCATAGCTGCATTGGCAAATGAAGCTGCCCAGCCCTGAGCACAATGCGAACAGATTCAAATTTATAACCATCAGCAGATGGCCAACCAGTGCCCCAGTGCATGCAGAAACAAAAGGATCAGCATCGATGATGATAATGATGTAGATGCTGATGATGATGATGGACGACCTATGACAATGGCTAATGAAATTTGTGGCAATGTGCAGAAGAGGCAAGTGCGCAGAAAATGCGTAACAATCAAAATGCCAAGCAATCGGTGCGAGGGGCGACCGATCGATTAACATAATGCGGCATGCAGCAAGTGTGTGTGTCTGTGTGTTTGTGAGTGATAGAGATGAGGAGTGTCAAAGCGGGAGCTAAACATAAAGCCGCATGTGCCGCTGATTGTGTGTGTGTGTGTGTGTGTGTGTGTGTATGCAATTGTGTGTGTGTAACTAACTGAGAGCTGTAAATAAGCAGCAACTGAATATAATACACATAATGGATGCCAATTCAAGCCAAGAGCCACTGCAAGGGGGGGGGGGGGGGGGGGGGGGGGGGGGGGGGGGGGGAGCGTGGTGCACTTCATATCAATAATGTACTTAGTTAAGTTTGTTTGGAGCAGATATGGTTTTGGGGGCTGGCTCGGTATTTGGCGCTGGGGCACAGAGCTAACAAACAAAATGCTTATTTATGGCACTTCTGTGCATTCCAAGCGAACGAGCGTGTCTGATTGTGTGTGTGTGTGTGCGTGCGTGTGTGCGTGTGTTGCATTACTTTAACTGCAAGTGATTGCAGTGGAAGATTGCCATAACTATGCCCCAACAGCCAAATGCCAAGTTAGGTACAAGACAGCATGTGGCAGGCAGCCGGCCGAGCCACAACAAGGCGCAGGATGCACATGACTCAGGATGTGGCTGCAGTCGTCGCTACTTACTCGCCGCCTGTTTGTCTAATACAGTGCCACAAAAGGATGCAATTATTTGGAGCGCAAGAGATAGAAAGCTAAATAGAGCGAGACGCTGTGAGTTACTGTCAGCGAGTGCCTTTGGTGCAGTGGTGCAGTGGTGCGGTGGTGCGGTGCAATGTGTGTGTGTGCTTCAATTGTCTAATGTGCTCTTACGTTACCCCAATTCAAGCACCGTAACTCGCATAGCTTTATTTATTACCTGAACTGCATTACAGTTCTAGCTAAATGTATTTATACAGCTTACCAACACTAAGTAAAAGAAGTTACCTTTGAGAAATGTTCTAGAATACATAGTTTTATGAGATAATAAAAATTTAACTGAAAATTAAAAAAAAAAAAATTAGATTTCATAGCGAATTCAACAGGTTGAAATATAGATTATTATCTTTCTTTATAGATACTTCCCATTAATAGTAATAGTAAAAAAAACAAGTATATTTAAATAAATTGAAAATAAGAATTTCAATCCCACTTTTACTAAAAACTTTCATCTCGAATATAAAATAACAAGACTCTAGATATGATATAGATTGCAGACGAGTGAAGAAGAGGGTCTTGCAAGAGAAGCCCATTTAATCGAGTGCTTAATTGAAGTGCATTTGATTTATTGAATTGAATCAAATAATTTATTTACTTACCCCTCTCGTCCATTGTGCTGGCGGCGTGAGTGCGGTGGATGATATCGCTACCGGCGACAAAGTCACCCAGATGTGCTGGTTTGTGCATGATGGTGCTGGTGCCGGTGCTAATTGAAGTTGTGAGCATTGAGGAAATTGCAAGTATTCGGAAATTAAGTGCAAGAAGTTATATAATAGAAAATGTGCGCTGTGTGTGCGGTGGGTGAGTGGGTCAGTAAGTTAGCTCTGCATGGCATTTGGGATAGGTCTAGTCTGAAAATTGAAGTGCGGGTGCAAGTGCTGGTGCTGGTGCATGTGCATGTGCATGTGTGTGTGCTTTATGAATCAGCTGTGATTGGTTGCTGTGTGGTGGTGGTGTTGCATAAGGACATTTTGTAAAGGACATTTGCAGCCGTTGCTCATTAATGAGCGAAACGACTTAATACGGCTGCAAATCGGCTTAAAGTATTAACAGACCAAGTCGGTTGACATTTCACTTCCGCTGACAATTGACAAAGCAGCTGGCATTATAAATTCATTTTTGAGCAAAGCCAGGGCCCGTTTCGGACATCTATTTTGGCCCGTTGCTCGTTGCTCGTTGCAGGCAACATTTGAATATTGAATAAGATGGCATGCATTAGGTGAGTCGATTAAGTATTTAAATGGCCTGCAACTGCACAGAGAGCTGCAGCCCGGGAGCAACTGCAACCGACATGTTTCTATTCATTTCCTTGTTGCTGTTGTTGTTGTTGTTGCAGTTGCAGTTGCTGTTGCTGTTAGCCTCATTCATTAGTTGACTACTGTTGGCTGTTAACCGGAAATTGTGGTATACCCAAGTGAGTCAATTATTTTAAAAGCTTTGCTGCATAAAGTTTTCAGCTGCAGCCCCGTCGATGTGGTTAAAAGAGTTTTTGGTTGAGTTAATGAAAGACTTGATCCGCCAGCCGGAGAGCGGCGAATCGGTCTAGGAGAGCCAGCATGCACTGCCCACTCGAGCAATCATATGTGAAGAAAGTTTGAACAAAGTTGGCGGCTTAAAGATGCCAACTTTAGCTCGGCCAGGCCGAATCACACTCGCAACTGCATACTTAGGCGATATGGTTGAGCTGAAGCCGCTGCCGCTGCCGCCGCTGCTGCTGCTGCTGCCTGCTGCAATGGTTCCAACGGTGCTCGGTGGYTCCACGCCATGCGCATAGTACGTGTGCGTGTGTGGATGCGTGTGTGTGTGCGGACGAGGTCCTGGCCCGGTGTCGACCACGACCACCACATCGTCCACAACGCTGCGCTCCAGGTCGTCCGTGTGGGTTGGTGGCGACTGTGGCTGCTTCTTGTGGCTGTGATGCGTGGTGGTGGTGGGCACGTCGACCACCACGTCGTCGTCCTCGGAGGTGTGCGGACTATGGGAGGCGAGCACCAACGGGTTGTTAATGCCCCACGAGGGCGGATGCAAATAGTGCGGATAGTTTGAATAGATTTCAGCGCGTATGCGATCATCGTAGTCATCATCGTCCGAATCGTCCTCATCTTCCGCCTGGTCCTCCTCCGCGTCCGCCTCCTCCGGATGCTCCCTGCCACTGTTGGGCTCGTCATGATAGTGGTACTCGATGTTGTTGGACAAGAGCTCCGTGCCATTAAAGGCGTGGCCGATGCGTTGGCCATGCTTTTGTTTCTGTTTTCGCGTCGGTTTCGGCTTCGTTTTTGGCTTTGGTTTTAGCTTCGGCAAGCCGTTGGGGAAAAATATTATTCTATCTGCAAAGAGCCAAAGAGTGGGATAGCGGGGAAAGGGGACAATGGGGAGCAGTGGAGGATGCGCAGACATGCGTGAGGTGCAAATACAGTTTAGTGCCAAAAATGGTGCAAATTCGTTTGAGATGTGTGCGTGGGTGTGGCAGTGGGTGTGCGTGTGGGTGTGTGCTGGAGTGTAGTGGTGCGGGTACGCTTATTTAATTAGTGCTATTAGTGCCTGGGGTGCATTTAATCCAAAGGTGCGAATAGTGTTGTGCTTGGTGCTGGTGCTGGTGCAGCTGCTAGCGAAGTGCGGCTGTGACCCCACAGCGCCAGCGCCAGCTGAGCGTGCTCAGGACTTGTTCCAAATTGAGTTGAGCTCGGGATTGGATTTGAATTTGAGCTGCAGAGTTTTACGGATTTGCTTTTCGGTTGGTTTGGTTGAAAATGTGAAGATAATGAAGTAATTTTGGTTTAGCGCCAACAAAAGCATGAACTAAGCTGACAGTCTATGTGACAGGATAGCTAGGGTGAGACCTCAGCAAGTGGCCCCGCTAAGCCCGGCCCAAGTCTTGTAAATGAACAGAACGATTTGTACGGTTTGCAGTAGAAAGTAGACAGAAGCAAGAGCTAGATAGTACAGCAACGATTACGATTAAATCAAAGCTAGTTATTACAGTTGCCAGCAGTTAGTTGATAATATTGTAGTAGTTCCAAATGTGTTTCGTATGTACTTTGTGCAATCAATCAATCAATGGTAATGTCAATATAATGTCAATCTATATGTAAAGCACAGTAACAGCGCCAGTTAGCGTGTGGCATATCAATTCGGATTGGCTAGCAGTTGGTGAGGGTATTCGGGTAACTCTTACTGCTAATTATTATWATTATATATTGGATAGATAGATAGCAAGGTCAATTTTACAGTACTTTGATAGTTGTTGAATGGTGAGTGTGTGTGAGCGAGAGAGAAATATATATAGAGAGAAGAGGAAGAGAGAGAGAGAGAAAGAGAGAGGAGAGAGAGAGAGAGCGAGGGAGATAGAGCGGTGACAGTAAACACGGCAGCTTTACATATATATAATTATATATATAGTAGATGTACGTATACGTGATATTTACGATATTACTGAGCATTGCTAATACGTATAGTATAACCATATATTCAAATACTGATATAGGCATGTTATTGCTAATAGGTTGTTTACTGATCGCATATCACGCAAATGTGGGAGTTGCTGTTTATTTTGTTTTTTTTTCTTTTAACTAATTTGTTTATTAATTTTTTACTGTTTTGGTTTTGATGCAAAAGCGTGCGATTTTAGTTTCAGGTTTTTTGGTTTTTTTTTTTTCATTGGTATTTAGATTACTTAAATTATTAGGCTAGTTTCAGTTTTGAGCGGTTCACAAAGTACCATAACGGAAAACAACAAAATTACAAAATGGAAATCGAAATCGAAACGAAAAGTAGACAGAACTGAGGAGAAATTCATTTGTGTTGAGTAAAGAACGTATAACACATAATACGATATTAAGATAGTACTCAAAATGGTTTTGCTTCTTCGCTTAACCATAGGTAGTAGAAAGAAATCACATTTAATGTTCCAAGAGATGAAATAAAAATGTATTTCTTTGCATTTTAGCGAAAGTTTCAGCACTTAACGCATTCTTCATTGTCATTCTTCGTTTTGTCAGGATTTTGTGTTCTTGTTGTTGGCTGTTGTTGTGGTTGTAGCTGTTGTTGTTGTTGTTGTTGGTGGCATTAGCCGTTGCCGGAAAACTTACCCACACACGGATTGTGATTAACAATATTAAATATACGATCACAGCGCTTTTTCATATGATTATTCGGACAGATGCACCCGAACATGGGCGACAAGCGCAGATTAGTCCAGGCATCGTGACAGGCATCCCTAAAACGAAAACACTCGCAGTCAGTAGGGCTGTGTAGTATAAATATAAAAGCACAACAGGAAAAGCAGCACCTAAGCCGACACACAACCACCACAGCTAATTGAAATTATATTCAACCCCAGCGCCGACCCTTTGCGTAAAAAAAGTGCGCAAGAAACTCGACGAACTAAACCCCTTAAACCCGACCCAAGACCCGACTTCCGCTCGGCGCAACAAACTTTAAAATTGGCAATTGCATCAAAAATGCATACATACGGCAGTTCAATTAATATTTTATCGCAAAGGTGGCAGCAGTTCGGCTGTGGGATGTGGGCTGTGGGCTGTGGGCTGCTCGAGGACGCGCAGCGCCCGTTTGCCGCATGGCCTGTGCGTGCTCAAAGTTTAGACGGCGGCAGTGAAACTTTAAGCCAGGCCAAAGAGCGCGCCGGGGCCGCCGCAAAAAGTCATTTCGAGTTATTAAAACATTCAGAACGTTTGTATTCGAGGGTATTGAGCCAGGCGCCGCAAGCAACTGGCGTCAGCAAGGATATGTGAAGGCTGCAGGAAGCAGCAGGAACTCAACTAGCAGGAAATTTCATTTCGCTGCTCTTACTTGAAGTTGGGCGAACATGCCACGCCCACGCCCACGCCGGCTGCCGCTCCCGCACTTCCCTTCGCCCACTCTCGCTATCGAGTATCGAAATTAAATGTTGCTTTTGCAGTTTGTGCAGCGTCGAAAGTTTTTGCGGCAACAAGCTGGGATGCTCAGCTAAAATGCCATCACCAGCAACTAAATCCATTTTCTCATTAAGCCAAACAGTTTAATTGAATGATTTTATTATCCGCCCCATTTTCGCCAAGTTCGCAGACACTGCCGGTGCACTTTTTGTGCCGCTGCTCTAATTAGCATTCGTTTCACAGCTTCCCCCAATTTGCAACAGTTTGCGGCTGCCGGCAGGACGAAAGCGGCAGAGCGTGGAATACTAAGCGAGAGCTTGTTGCTTAGTATGCAAACTGAATAATCAATAATTATAATTGATACGGCGGACGTTGCTGAATTCACTTATCGATTGCACAGCCCGTGAGCTGAAAAAAAAAATTACTGCCTGGACAGCAGTTCCTTTAGTTCTGCTCCTTTAGTAGCCCCGAGCTGCTTATCTTTACTCAACAGAGATTACCCTTTCTTTTCATTTTTTAATTTCCGCAATTCGCTCACCTGTTTTCCATTTTACACTTATTATCGCGCACCTTGCAGTGCGTCTTGAAGTCCTCAAAGAGCTTTAGGCATTTGCGTTCCTGCTGGCACACGGACAGCGCATGGTTGCACGTGGGCAGAGCGTCAATCGGATAGGGATCCTTTTCGGCTGTGGGGAAGGATTAACAGAAGGGAAATAGAGCAAAACGAAAGGAAGCCAAATGATTTAAGTGGGGCTATCAAAAGTTTAAAGTGTCATCATTGCCTGTGGCATGCGGCATGCGGCATGCGGCATGCCACACGCATTTGGTGGCACTTGCAACGCACTTACCTTTTTTGAGCACAAATCCGCACGGATGATCGAACAGAAAATCCCGGAAATGATTGCAATCGGGATCCATGCCGGGCTCCTTGCACAGGCAGGTGGGGCGAAAGAATTGAAATGCCTGCAGCGTGCGCAGCGCCGCTTGGCATTTTGTGACCGTCACCGTGCTGCAGGACACTGCAAGGACAATGAAATAGACAGCCAGGCTATAAAAACGAGCAGCGACAGTTATGCTTAATGATCTCTAAATGGCAGCAGCGCTTAAACTTTGACATTTCGCTGGACGTGCCCGTGTCCGTGTCCTAGTCCGTGTCCGTATCCGTGTCTGTGTCCGTGTATCTGTCCAATTCGGAATCGCTGCTCACATCGATTACCCCAGTTGTAGCCAGTTGACAGTTGTTATAAATGGCAGGCGGGCGTCGGCCGAAAAACAGACAACTACAAACCAAACACATGTCATAATACCCAACAATAAACAACGACACGAACAGCAGCAGCAGCAGCAAACAGCAACAACAGCAACAACAACAACAACAACAACAACATTAACAAATATAGCTGCAACAATATGAATAATTGAGTCCCCAGCAAAATGGTCAATTTAAGCGACCAATGAAGCGAGCAGGCAGCGTACAGCCAGCGCCCGTTGGTGGAGCTTGTTGGTGGAGAGCGATCCGATAATATTTTATAACATAATAAATTATGTTTCATATATGACAGCTTATTCGAGCATATGACAACTACTGCTATATATACACTCATCCGCCCACATAGACACGCACACAGCACGCACACACACACGCACACACACTCATTCACACTCGCTCGAATGAGTGGGGCGTGCGGGCTGTCGAAACAAACAAAAGGCCAACAAACATCTGTTGGCCATCCATTGTCCCTTTGACCATAAAACATAAGCCCTACTAATAAACTCGACTACGACTACACTTCACACACACACACACACACGCACAAGCACATCGAGACGACCACACACACACACACACACTAAAATCGCCAAAAAAGCAAAGCGAACCAACTGCCGCAACGTCCGGACAATGGCCAACGGCCAATGGCCAGCATATGAGCTGGATGGCCCATTGCTCATGTCACTCATACGACCCGTTGGTCGCTCGACCCCGGACATGATTATTTGCTACTCGAACATAAAGTTGACCGCCCAACCCCAGTTCCAGCCCCAGCCCCAACCCTCGGGCAATTTGTATGTGTGTGTGAGGCGTGATGCTCGAACTACGCAACAAGTGACATTTTTCGCAGGCATTCATCATATTTATGACATGGCCAACACTTGACATGGCCACATTTGTTGCTTTTGGCCAGAGCTCTGCTCTGCGTCACTTGAGGCATAGGCGCAATTAGAAGCCATTGCCAGCTTAAATAGCAGATGTTGGGGCCACATCTTTCGACTTGGCTTAAGCCCACTGCAACTCCTAAGCACTTTTAGTTTTGTGGCCTTTGATTTCCTATGTGTAAGTGTGTGTGTGTGTGTGGCTGCTCATAAAAGCGGCGGACGGGTTTTATGGCTCGTCGCCATCATCAACTGACGCCATTTGCAGTAACTGTTCAGCTGGCATTGCTCTTGCTCTCTCTCCCTCTTTCTCTGTCTCTCTCTCTTTCTTTCTTTCTCTTTCTCTGACTTTTTTTTCGCCCTTTAACCGTGAACGTTAAGTCCTCAATTCGTTTTTATACGAAACGCGTTTCCGGTTGTTGATTTGGTCGCTGAATTGGTTCAATGATTTCTTTGTTGTTTCCAATATGACCAACAAGCGTGCACGTGCACTTGTAAGTGTGTGTGTGTGCGTGTGTGTGTCGACTTTTTGGCTGGGTTTGATTTGATTTTAACTTGTTATTTGTTCGCTTTTCCTATACAGTATATAATCATAGCTGCACTTGCTGAAATTTATATGGCATTTATTTAGTTGGCAATCAAACGGAAATTTGAGCATGTCATGTTGGTCCGCTTCGCATAAAATTGTATTGGCTTTTATTTGCACAGCATCAGTATCAGCATCAGCATCGGCATCGACATTGGCGTGCAATTAATTAAATTAAGTAAACTTTTGTCTTTGCCTTGGCGCCTTTGTGCATGAAATTTTTACAATATTTATTGAGCGGCATGGGGGCTCCCCTCATGCAACACATGTCCTTTTGTCATATGAAACAGGCGTGCCTTGAGTTGAAAACTGTGTGTGTGTGTGGGTGCATGTGTGTGGGTAGTGCGTGGTTGTTTGCCTTGTGCGCAGTTGGCTGCTTGCTGATTTCATTGAACCATCGGCAATCGCACAAAGCGAACGCAAAAATGCGAGCGTAACCCACACATACGCATACTTGCACACACCGCAAGCACACACACCCACACGCACGCAAGCAAGCAAGCAGCTGGAGTTGGAGCGCATGTAAAGAACGTCAAAAAGTACGCTACGACTGCAGCAGCAAAAAGCAGGACCCGCACCACAGTGCGCCGTTGCTTGTCAAAATATTTATTGCCGTCAGAGAGATAGAGAAAAAAACAAGAGTGAGAGGGAGAGAAACAGAGAGAGAGAGAGAGAGAGAGGGAGAAAGAGAGAGCGAAAGAGAGAGAGAGAGAGATGCTTTTAAAGGCTTCAATGCGGTCATGTCGCCGCATAAAGGCGCCAAGAGAAAAGGCAACAGACACGCTGCATAAAATGCAATTATCATAAATATTCAGGCCGCCTTGGAGCGTGTTGGCTTAAAGTGTATGTCTGTGTGTGTTCTTTGCTCCGCTTTCACGTGTGCAATATATGTACATATTTTTTGAGGACATTTAAAGGACAATACTGCTGCTATTAAAGTGCCCCCCACCCCTGGCCCAGAAGCAGCCAAAAAGTAATTTCAGTTTTTAAATGAAAAAGTTGAAAGTGCGTTTTACGTTTGTTTTGCTGACGCCAAATACCATTTTGTTGGCTCTCAGCAGACACGCAGGCACACACACATACTAATCTACAGAGAGCAAGGTCTTATGAGACATTTGCCATAAAAACAAATGCCAAATGATATTTGTTGGCTTCTTGTTTCGACTTCGAATTAGACGCTGTCCACACACAATTGTAATCGTAATTTTTTATTGCCATGTATTCACGACTGAATTGCAATTGGCCATTGCAATTGGCCGTTGGCATTCGACATTCCACATTCCACATTCCCCGTTCGATATTTTAAATTTGGGATTTGAGTGGCTGCAACTATTCGATGAGGCCAAGTATACGCGCCTTGCTCTGGTAGTCGGTGCGTTGCACGTAGGCGCCGCACATGATGCGGCGGCCCGTGTAGGCGTGGCGGCCGTGGAGCACGCGCCAGTTGTCGAAGATCACCAGGCTGCCCGGCCGCAGCTTGAGCTGCCACTGCTGCTCCTCCTCGCGCACCATCTGCAGCAGCTGCCGCAAGCTGGCGTAGAAGCTGGCCATCTCGCGCTGGGGCAGCGTGTTGAAGACGGCGCGGTCGTAGACATTGAGACGCAGCTGGAGCAGCTCGCCGGTCAGCGGATCGATGCGTATGATGGGCGCTGTGTGGCAGTGGTGCTGGCCCTGCTCGATGTACTCGGCGGGCACTTGCACGCGGCAGAGCACCTCGTAGGCCGCGGGAAAGCGACGGCGCAGCTCCTGCACCAAGTGCAGCCCGTCCACAAAGAAGTTCTCGCCGCCAGTGCCGTCGGCGGAATGATCGAGGCAGTGCAGCGCCTGCAGGCCGGCGGCGTCGCAGAAGTACGTGTTGTCCGTGTGCGAGCCCAGATACATCTTAGTGTACGCCGTGTCCGCGTGGTCCGGCTTGTCGCTGAACGTCCACATCTCTCCGAAGAAGGTCTTCATTATAGGGAAGCAGCGGCGCAGCGCCAGCTCAGTCATGGTGGGCGTGGGCGCCACGTCATCTATAAAGACAATGCCGTAGCGCACGAGAGCGCCTACCAGCTGCTTGACCTGCTCATCGCTGGCAACAAGGGCGGGCAGCGAGAAGCGCAAGTGCCGCTCGTTCTGTAGCACGATGCTGCGGTTCCAGGGCGTCAGCGCGGTGGACTTTGTGCGCCGGCTTATCAGCTGCTCCAGCTGCGAGTCATAGATAAACGCCCAGTCGTAGCTCGAACGATGCCCGTCGCTCCCTGGACGCAATGTAAACACGTATGAGCATGACGCGGCTAATTGCCATCCGGCGGTACTTACATTCCACCAGGAGCTTATCCCCCGACTCCCAGCTGTGCCTCAGGGCGTACACATCGGCCGGCAGCTCGAGGACATCATAGCGCCGCTGATGCGTCTCCGTGTTGAGGCAATCTCCGCAGTGACAATGATAGCGCAGCCAGAACTCATCGAGCTCTATGACTTGGCCACTCCCAGCATGCTTCAGCTGCAACATCTTAGTTGAATTGTTGAACAGAGAAACACTCGACCGATCCGCAATGAAGTGAGCCGATCAACTGAGACAGCTCAACGCCAGATTAGCGTTTGCCCCCTGCCGTATGTTCTTATCAACTCGAGCTGCGGACCACACTTTGCATGTTAAGGGTCTTCGATGAGTAAACAAGTGAGAGTGCTCTAATCGAAACTGCTGATATTCTAATCATTCTGCACTTCTCTTATGCACACATACATAAACAGAATCACACATACATCCACACGCACGTTTAAGTACTCGCTCAGCTAACGGCGCAGTTAGAAGCGACTGCGCTGGGACTGCGCTGCAGTGGGGTCAACAGTATAAGATTTTATTTCTTGACTAATTTCTTTTATAGTGGGACTATCTTTATGAAACTATCCAAAATCTGTAAATTACAAAATCTTCGTATTCATCATGTATATACACAGTAAAGCTGAAGTCTCTAGGTCTAATCGTATTCAAATTCTAATAGAACAAGTAAGAAAGCTCTAGTCGAGACTGCTCGMCTAYGAGATCCCCTGAACCCTTGGAGTGCTAGCTATTTCAATAATTTTTCGCGTCTTTCAGCTTACACAAGAAACACACACACATACACAAACACATACACACACAAGCACCCACGCATAAACACGCATGGGCTGCAGTGTGCGCTTACTATGAGAACTTAATTGTTTAATAACTTTTTTTGTGGACGTACGATCTTCATGAAACTTTCAGATTATGATTATAACATGAATATGCATGTAATTGCCAAAGCACAAGTCTCTAGTATTTGAAATACGCNAAAAAAAATTTGAAGTCTCTAGCTCTTATATCTTCTGAAATCGACGCGTTCATACATACGGACAGACGGACAGACAGACGGACAGGGCCAAATCAACTCAGCTCGTCACCCTGATCAAGAATATATATACTTTGWGGGGTCTGYCRYSMCTCCTTCTCCCTGTTACATACATTTCAACAAAACCATTATACCCTGATTTCCCATTGAAAATGGGTTCAGGGTATAAAAACCGAGATCAATATATCGCTTATACTCGACAAAAAAAATATCGTATGAGTTATCGAAAAAATATGTTGAACTATTCATGCACAATTTAAAATCTCTAACTATTTTATATCTTCTGGGATCTCGGCATTCATACGAACAGACGGTCGAACGGACAGGGCTATACCGAATCAGCTCGTCGCCTTTATAAGGTCTACGATGCTTTCTTCTGCCTGTTAAATACATTTTCAAAAGGTTCAGGGTATTATAAATGAAGACTTTCGCATATTTGAATCTATTCTTCTGTATCTTCCACAATACAACCATAACTTAAATTCTTTCAATCGAAGCAGCCCTTGGAAACGATGTCAGATTTGACAGTTGTGACAGCTTTGACAGTCAGCAGAAAATTTTACTCACTGAGTTAAACTGGGACAGTTCACTACTTAGACTTTTTGAAAGAATTACTGAAATTTTCACAAATTTATTGGTATGTTAAAGGCATTAGCATAGCAGTTAGCCCGTCTTAGTAATTCATTAACCCAGCACAAATATAGAAATGAAGCCGACAATCACCTCGTGGGCCGATGAGGTAGAGGCAGACTATGTGGACGGACTGCCGCCCTCGAAGGAGCACGTAGATGGCGACTACAAGCACGTCACCGAGTACAAGTTCAATGATGAGGGCAAGAAGATCAAGGTGGTGCGCAGCTTCAAGATTGAGAAGAAGATCGTCTCGAGGGCAGTGGCAAAGCGGCGCAATTGGACCAAGTTTGGCGACTCCAAGCTGGACAAGCCGGGCCCCAATTCGTACACCACCAAGGTGGCCGACGAGATCCTGATGAACTACATGGGCTCCAAGGACTTTGAGCATGCCCAGGATCCGCTGGATGCGAGCAAGCCCATTGCCAAGTGCCGCATATGCAACGGCGAGCATTGGTCAGTCAAGTGCCCCTACAAGGGCACCTCCATGGACATCGAGAGCAAGGCCATTGCGGCAGCCACTGCAGCTGTGGGCGAGAGCAACAAGGCGGGCAAGTATGTGCCGCCGTTCCTGAAGGAGGGCGCCAAGGGACGCGAGCGCGACGATTCGTCGGCTGTGCGCATTTCCAACCTGTCCGAGTCGATGACCGAGGATGATCTCGAGGAGCTGGTCAAGAAGATTGGCCCACACACCAAGATGTATCTGGCGCGCGAGAAGAACTCGGGCCTGTGCAAGGGCTTTGCCTATGTACACTTCAAATATCGCAAAGACGCGGCCGAGGCAATCGAAATACTCAACGGACACGGCTATGATCACTTAATCCTAAGCGTGGAGTGGTCCAAGCCGCAGAATTAAATACACACACACACAAACACATCTTATCCGATGCCCTGCCGCATATGTCTTTTGGCTGGGAAAAGCGCAAAGCTGCGCAGGAATTGAGGCAAAGTTGAAACAAACTAAAAACTTTGAGTAAAACTGATAATGCCACGTTTTAAATGCGAATTTTTTACACGTGACAGCACAGAGAAATTCTCACACAAGTATACACGTAAGCACAGATACAAACACACACATATATACGTAAATAAAGGAAAGGAAAAGCCACTTAAATGAAAGACAGACGTGGAGAAGAAAAGCTGGCGAAACACCACTAGACTTTGGCTGACTCGAACATTAATAATTAAATTGAAGAAAAGAAAAGTCTTATGCACGGGCTCACAGGCCAGCTGAAAGCCCAGCGCCCACGCCCACTTACCCCCAATAGTGGTGTGGCCTCTGGACAGCCCTGGCCTGCCGATGGTGGCGTTGGAATAGTGCACGGTGAACTGAACTTGAATACACTTTTAAATGGCCTGTGTGGGCGGGGGAGGGAGAGATCAAAGCGAAGCCCACATACATAGGAAATGTATACCTGCAGCAGCGAGCTTTGTTCACGTGTGTATGTGTATGTGTGTGTGCGTGTGTGTGTTTGTGTTTGAGCATGGACGAGGGGCTGGCGACGAAAGCAAATTCTCAAACAAATTACTGAATAATTTATAAATTAACTTTTTCTTGGGCTCGCTCGTTCATTCGCCTTTGTGCGCGACGACAATGGAGGAGGCACTGCCGAAGCAAAGGTTGGGGGTTGAGGGGTGGGCGATGGATGATGGGGTCCTGCTGGCCGTTTGTTTGCTTTTTTCTTGCACCTCCTCCGTCTGCAGTCTAACTATGTGTGTATATATATTCATAGTGGTGCGGCTGGCACGCACATTCGCCCGCTGGGCAGTAACCACAATGGCAGTTGGCTGCGCGGCTGCCAGCAGCTGGCTGGCAACTGGCAACTGGCAACTGGCGAGTTCCGAGTGGCAAGTGGCAACTGGCGGCTAGCGGGTGGGTTCAGTTCTCAGGGGCATTTGAATATTCAAATGGTATTTCGTGGCATTTTCTGATGTTGCTTCTGCTCCTGCTGCTGTGGCTGTGGCTGTTGTTGTTGTTGTTGTTGTTGTTGTTGCTATATTGCGCTTTAAGCATATGACCGTTATTTACTGTTTTATTGCACGCGGGCGCAAACAAAAATTGCTAAAATAATTACACAGTTGTCGGCACAACAAACGCTTGGCGGGCTCCAGGAGGCAGCCACCCAGCTGCGCAGCCAGCCAACCACCGACCACGACAGCGGCAACTAAATAAAATTAATCCTCAAATGGCCTCAGGCACTCGCCCCCTACTTTATGAGCGTGTATGTGGCCAGCAGACTAATGCAAACTATTGCTGAAAACTTGGCCAGCAACACAAAACCGCGTTTTAGCCATTAATTCGCTAAGCGCTGACTCTCTTACCTGGTATGGGTCCGCATACGCGTGGTATTATTTCCAAAATGGCCGAGCATGAGGGATCCTCGAAACACAGTTGACGGGCCAAAATGCAGTTCAAGATCGCAACGGCACCTTTAATGGTCGAACCTGCAACAAGAGAAATATAATTAGATTAGTAACGGTTGCAGGAGTGAGTGCACGGAGTGCTTAGATATTTGCCTTTTAGGCATCTATCAATGTTAATTAATCAAACCAGATTCGACAAGCAACCGAACAATAAATAATTTCCCTTATTCGTATCTCTGTAAATCTGTGAAACTGAAATAATCAACAACAAACAAAAACTCTCCAAGCATCAACATGGAACTGGATCCGGACTTTGTCAAGGAATTCGCTTGCCTCAAGATCTCCACACGGGACATAAGCGCCGAGGAGCTGGCCAAGTTCGATGCGAATGTGCCGCTGAAGGCACGCGCCCAGGTGAAGCACACCTCGTACAAACACGTGCCACAGTTCTTTTATGTGCCGCCGCCACCGGATGACAAGCTGCGGCATTTGCTGCGGCGAGAGGCACAGTCGCTGTTCCTGCAGCAAAAGTCCGAGGAGCTGCTGAACAACGAGGAGCTGCAGCAGCTGTGGCGCCTCTTGGAGCAGCATGTCACTGAGACGACCGCCAAGCAGCAGCTGATCAGCTACGACGACTACTGCAGGCTGAGGTCTGCCCTCGACAAGAAGTGCCGCAAGTATCTCACGACGTGTCTCTTCGCCCAGCTGCTCAGCGAGTCGCCCTACCTGGGCAGCGTGGAGATCGCCTCCGTGTTCAACTACACCATGCGCAAGGTGTGGCTGACGCAGTGTCGCATTGGGCTCTCCTTTTACGATGATGTCGGCCAGGGCTACCTGCGCGAGTTCGACTTGGAGAACTACATTGTGGATCTGATACCCACGCTGGGGCAGATCTGCGATTGCATGGATCCCGCCTTCGAGAAGTTCTATGTGTGCACGGTGGTTAAGCGGTTCTACTTCTTCCTCGATCCACTGCGCACGGGTCGTATACGCATTCGCGAGATGCTGGTCTCGGGCTTGATTCACCAGCTAATGGAGCTGCGCGACGAGCCAAAGCCGACTGAGTTGGAGCCCGTGCAGCTAAATCCCTTTTCCATGCCCGCCGTCCTGGCGGTCTACGGGAGCTTCCTCAATCTGGACCTGGATCACAATGGCCTGCTCAACAAGCAGGAGCTGAGCAGATATGGCTCAGGCACGCTCACATCAGTGTTTATGGATCGCGTATTCGAGGAGTGTCACACTTACGACGGCGAAATGGACTACAAAACGTATCTGGGCTTCGTCCTGGCCCTGGAGAATCGACAGGTGTGAGTTTAAGCCGAATGAACTTACGAGCAGGATTCATATTGTTTGGATAGTGTACTAAATGTTCATCTTAAAGCTCTTTGGCTCTAGCAGCAGCTAGCGGTTTTCTTTATTTTATTAATACGGTTATCCTCTTGCATAGACATCCTCCTCGTTGCACTACTTATTCCGTATGCTGGACGTGCAGCACACCGGCTACCTGACGATGCAAACGCTTAATTACTTCTTCAAGGGAATAGAGGAGCAGCTGGCGCTTAGGTCTGCCGAGGCGGTGCGGTTCGAGGACTTCAGCAATGAGATATTCGACATGGTTACCCCCAAGGATCCGTGCAAGATAACACTCAAGGATCTGAGCAATTGGTAAGCTGCGCACACTTGATTTCACCTCCTCCTCCTTTTGTATTTTCCACAAAAACTGTCGTTTAACCATGTCCTGCGTGTGCAGCGGCCAGGCGGAGACCGTGGTATCCATATTAATTGAATTTCATAAATTCTGGGCTTACGAGAACCGCGACGACAATCCGCAGAATGCTTAATGGCCACATGCCACACGACGACAACAGCAGCAGCAGCAGCAACAGCAAGAGTAGCAACAGCAGCCAGAGTAAATACGGCAACAACATTGAGCGAAATTTAATTAAAATCCCGAACAGACAAATAATATCAGTAGACACGCATCTGCAGAAGAGTTTGGCGCTGACTTTGACTGCAGAAAGGCTCGTTCAGACTAGCTCAAAGTGATGTGAAGCCTCTTGTCCAGTTTTCCATTTGGCCTTTGAGTAGAGCTCGAAAATGTTGTAGAATTATTCTTAGCAAACACCATGCACTAGACACTTTAATTAACTCATCATATTTTTTACTTCATAATGTTAAGAGATAAGTATCTTATTTTAAAGCACTGCAGCTGGCAAATGCAAGCCAACGCATCACTGTCAGCCCAAGACAGCAACACTGAAACACAAATTATTTTGTATGTACTTATATAGAAGACGTGTATAAATTATTTGTGCATTGACATTTTGCGCTCATTAAATTCTCAGCAAACGAAAATATTTACTTAATTTGGCTGGGCCTTAAAGCTCAGTGATATTTGTTGCATCTGCCGTAATGTGGAGCTGGCAGAGGGAGAGAGAGAGAGAGAGAGCGCGGCAACAGTGGCCGCTGCTGCCCCAGAGATTATAATAATTTTATGACTCTTGGCAGTTGCAGGAGCGGATATAATGTAGAGTCTCCTACTCTCTAACCGGGCAACGGTTTATAAAACATTCATTTCAATTTCATTTCATTACGTAGAAATAAACCAAGTCATTCAGACCAGCTGGCAGCCTGGCAGGCAGCCTGTTAGGCAGTTGGGCAGTTGGGCAGTCAGGCAGTGGGACAACCACACAGCTGAATGAAGGGGGCTCAGTTGGTGCTTTGCTTGGCTGCTGTCCATCTCAATAGGATGTGCTGCGACCAGCGAGCAGTCCATCCGCCGGATGCTCAGTAAAAGTTGCAGCTACTTCTGACCCGACCCGACTCGCCACCTCCTGCTGCTGCTGGCAGGCGCTCATTAACGAAATGACCGCTTGCATATTGCAGGCAGCTGCGGCTGTTTGGCGCCGTGGGGTAGGTACGAGAAATGCCTTCAAAAATTCAGGAACTGCATGCAACGGCAACACTAAGGCAACACCCGTTTGCAGGAAGTGGCCTACTGCCAGCGGTAGCTGGAAGTACAACAATGGCTGCTAACTGTAGCAGTCAGTGGCAACGGTAGTGGCAGTTGCACTTGCATTTTACAGCTGCACCACCAACACCACTGTCTCCACCACCACCGTCACCAACAGTGCCAAATGCCGCACAGTCAAAAGTTTTGTGGCAGTCGCGGCACTCGAATTGTTTGCGGAAATACAAATAAATAAAATGCTGAACGCAAATTGCGGCAACTTGCAGCTTGCAACTTGCAACTTGCGACTTGCAAGAATTGCGCTACGTATGCGGGTGGTCTCTCACTCACGCTCTCTCTCTCTCTTTCTCTCTCTCTCTCTCTCTCTCTCTGTTTCTCTGGTATGTAAAGTGTTTTATGGCTATTGGTCGCTTAGCAGAAGTAGTTCTGCATCTGGACTGCACGGGTTGTCCCGATGACAGCCTAGAAATTATCAACGCCAGCTAGCTGAATGGCTGGCCAACTCACCCACACAGACACACACACACAAACAAATAGTCGCCGACGGCCCGATTACCGAGCCCCATGCGACCCATTCGAAATCACTTAAAAACACAAATCAAGCAAAAGTTGAAAACACACAATAACAATTGTTTCGGGACACCCCATAAATTTACATGCCAACTGCGGGGGCAGGCAGCAGACACTCTACATAGAAGACCAGAGAAAAAAACAGAAGAAGAAATAGGTACATAAATATGGCAGCAGAGGACGCCTACGCCTCCTCCTCGAAGGACAGGACCAGCAACCAGAACAATTCGTTTCTGTCACAATCAGATTCGGATTGGGCACAAAAATTTCGAGTTCGCGTTCCCATTTCGCATTTCGTTTTCGTATTTCGTATTTGGCGTTTCACATTCGCGTTTCGCGTTCGCATGTTGCCGCCATGTTTCATGAATTATTTTCCTGGCCAAAAACTTTTCCAAACTTTTCAATGCACAATGTGTGTGCGACAAAGAGAGAGTGAGAGCGTGAGGCGGGGGCAATATAGAAAGTAGTAGGCAAGACATTCACTACCGGCTGTCCTTTGGCCTGACTCTGCTGCGTTTCCTTGGCCTGGCGCATATTTCGATTACCATTTTGCCGCCTCCGACTGCCGACTGCCGGCTGCCGGCTGCCGGTTAGCGATCGAACTTCGGAAGGAGCTGAAAGGCTGTGCCAATGTTTCACATTTTCTGCAACTTAGCTCCCGCTGCTGCTTAAATTTCAATTGTGTAGCATGGGCCGTGGGCCCAGGGCCGCTCGACTCGAGAGCACTCTGGTGCAGGCTTTAATAAATTATGGCAACATTCCCAGCAGCGGGACGAGGCGGGCTGCATGGGTGGGCCCGCTGCTGCCTTGCCGTGCACTGGCCGGTGCCATTCACGTCACTTGGAAAAAGTTCATACAACAAATGCGCTTCACAAGAAAAACAACAACAACAGCAATAACACTCAACGGGGCCAATAACAACGACAACAATGCTGTGAAACGACCGCATTACGAGCTCGCGAATTGCTGGAGCTTCACATTGGCCGTAAGCTAAAAGAGTCCGACACGGAGTTGGGCTGTCCGACCAACCGCTGGCAGTGGCAACAGCAACAGCAACAGCAACAGCAATAGTAACATCAACAACAACAACAACAACATGGCCAAGAAATGGCAGCTTTACAACTTCCGCCAAGCGACTGTGGCGAGTAGACACGGACGATGAGGAAAAAGAACGGGAACAGCAGCAGGAGTAGCAGGCGTCGTAGCTGGTAACTGTAAAATGTATGTTGTAGTATTCCGTTTTACTTTCTTTTTTGTTTTGGTGCTGAATGGTGTACTCATCTCATGTCATTCGGGATTATTTTGTGGGTTAAAAACTAATTTGCGGTCATGAAGTGGATTTGGTGGTTCGTGTGCGTCCTTTTTGCTGTTGCCTGTTGGCTGTTGGCTGTTCGGCTACTCACTGTGGGCTGCTCTCTGTTGGCTGCTGCTGACATGGCGCCCAGTCCATAAATATGCAACAAAACTGGCAACTAACTAGCTTTGCCTCATGTTCGCCCGGCCCGCTGACAATTGCTCGCACTCGCCATGCACTTCATTAGCATACCAAAGCCGGCTAGATTTAAGGTACTTATCTTGTGAAGACACACACACACACATAATTTAAATTTGGGGTTCAAGTTCAGCCCAGCTGCAAAGAGGCGGGGTCGGCTGGCTGACCTGTTGAAAGTTCATGAGCAAATTATATTATTTGATTTCGTTTATGGGTCAGCATCTCGTGCCGGCAGTCGTGCGTTGACATTTCAATTTTAATGGTCGCATTTAAATTGACACGAGCTGGCTCGAGAGCCTTCGACTCCGACCAATCAACAACAACAACGACAACGACAACAACGTCAAATTGTCGCCATGGGCATTTTTAATGTGCGATCCCTTGAATCGGGTGCTGAGGCTGAGTTCCTGGCACTTGCCAGGAATCTGGCAGCAATCGCACGGAGGCGGAGGAGGCGGAGGAGGCGGTCCAGGCCAACCGTTGTTGCTGCGGACTATGGTCAATTAACTGAAAATGGCATTATTGTTATTATCGTTACGACTGTTGTTGCTGTCGTTGTCATCGTTGTTGTCGTTCTCGTTGTCGTTGTTGTTATGCCCGTCCTTGTTATTGTGTTACTTAATTTTATTGGTTTCAAGACATTTTGCTGAGAGTTCGGAGAATTATTTATTGAATAAATTGCATGTGACAGTAAATTTCACATAAACTCAACTGCTTTAAGTGAATCTTTGCCAATTTGCGACTTTTGTTATTTTTGAAATTTCTTTAATTTAATCTATTTCTGAGCAGATTCTGTCAACTAGATAGACAAACTGAATGGCTTAACTTGACAATTGATAAGTAAAAGAAATTCTATTGCTGAGCTCTTGCCTTAATTAGTAAAGTAAACTGTGTTTTAGAGTATAACATTTTTTATTAAAAAAAAAAAAAAAAAAAAACAAATCAACTCACAAGTAAAAATCAAAGTAAACACAAAAAAAAAAAAAAACATTGACAACTGTTTCAATGTTGTTCGCGGCAATTATCGAAGGCAAAACAAAATAAACACATCAATAAACAGAGCTCACAGTGATTTGATTACATTATTATAAAACAATTTGCATTCGATAAAAGCCAAAGACAGCAGCAGACAAACTCATAAAAGTCGCGCAATGAAAATTGAGCGAGTTTTTCCCGCCGCCCCGAGTCGACATGATGGGCCATTTTTGTTGGATTTGAAGGCCTCACAAAGAAAATACGCAAAACGTGCATAAATCTCGCCGTTTGATGGCTGAGCACTTGCAGGGGGCCGAGCAAGGCGAGCGGGGAGCAGTGGGAAATCACGGAGTCCGCATTCAGAAAGTCTGTCGAAATCGAAACGCGTTAGTGGAGAAACAATTTCCAGGACACGCGGCAGCTGTCAGGGGGGAGGCGGCAGGCGGCTGCGCATGTAGAATAAATGATTTTCTATTTGTTAAGTCAAAGTGAAAATTCTTGGCCTCAACAAGAGTGTGTGTGTGTGTGTGAGTGTGCTTTGTGTGTTGACATTTCTTTGAGCCGCCATCACTCACAGCAAATACAAACGAATCCGTTGCGAATGCAAAGAAAACATTTGAGCATTTACATTTTCTCACACGCCTGCCCGAAATTGTGTGTGTGCCTGTGTGTGTTAGACTCGTTCCCCCTCCACCACTGGCAGAGCTTTGAGTCCTGTTTCGTCTCATTTACGAGCCGCACATATCATGGGCGTGTCAGGCGAGTGCCTGCACATCCCGAAAGAGGTCAAAAGCCGGCGCATATGTCAAGTGCTGCCAAAGAACCGAACTGAGCCGAAAAGAGGCCAGCACTTTGTGACCGAGCGGCCTGGCGACCAGGCGGCCAGGCGACCCTGTCGCATGCTGCACGCCTTGCCCCTGGCTGCCGTGCTTAGGAAATATAAATTTTTATTCTTATCTTTTGCATTCTTGCTCTCACTTTTGTTCCATTTTTATGCGATGCTGCTCTGATGCTGCTCTGCTGCTTTCTGCTGCTGCCTTATCCTTTTTTCTCTCTCTCTCTCTCTCTTATTTTTTACGTGTGTTTCGTTCATTGTTGTAAATTATTTATGCCTGCGTAAAATATTCAAAGCTCGGCGCACTGACGCGAAATGTGAAAAAGAAAACGCACTACAGCCAGCAGCAACTGACGGTGATGCGGCGTGAAGGGGTCAGCGCGGGGGATTGCGCGGGGGCAGTGGCAACAAAAAGCAGTCCAAGTTATTATTCATAACACAGCAGCATTAAAGTGTAAGGGAGTATGCGACAATTCCCACAACCATTTGTCCAGCCGCACCGACTGCCGAT